AACCAGGTGATCGGAGCTCCGCCCAACTCCAGCAAAGCTTGTCGTAGAACAAGGCGGTATAACCGCCGTCGGTCTTTATGTTAGCTGGGAACCTAAGTTAGGCATACAAGTTCTTATTAGTTGAAATTTGGATATAACAAAGAAAAAAGAGACAAATAATTTCTTTAAATAAAATAATTCATGGAGTGATTGTAAAATAGAAAGGTTAAATATGACAGTTTAAACTAGAGTGTAAATGAATTAACAATTAATGAAGTTAAAGTGAGAATTCTGAAATTGGTTTAATAAAAGTGTTGTATATATTCGAATGTGAAATGGAATGGTAAATTCTGAAACAGTAAGTAAGTTATTAAATGGACAACACGTGGAGGGAGTTTTTTAACTAGAAACTGATTAATTAATTAGACAACACAAGGAGGGAGTTTTAACTAGAACACAATTAATTAATAATCAAAACTTTGCGAGGGAATTTTTTTTTGTATATTATAAAAAAGGTGTAAATTCCGAGAGTAATTAAAAAAGTGAAATTAATCTGAACTGGTCAGTCAGTTTAGATAGAGGTAGAGAAAGCCCGTGCGGCGGGAAGGGGAGAGAGAGAGGTGATATGACACCTGGCCAACATGCCACCCACTCTCACAGCTATCGTACAACATCTTCACCTAATCTAACCGCTCTGGCCTTGGCAGGCAAGGAACGCCTAAATAACAATAAACAGTGACCATTCCAAAGTCTCCACATTTTTGTGAGATAGCTGGGGAGTTACCCAGGACCACTTAGTAGCACCCCACCTTATCAGAACTTACAGGATAATTATTTTAAATTATTTTAGTGTTTGCAGCCTGGGGATCAGTAACGTTTCATATAGTATCATTTTGTCTAAGTTCATTTTCATATAGTGCACTTTGTATTGGTAACATTTAGTATGGGTTACATTTCCTATAGGTAACATTTTGTATAGATAACATTTTATATAGGTAACATTTTGTATAGGTAAAATTTAGTATAGATAACATTTGGTATAGGTAACATTTTGAATCTGTAATTTTTCATATAAAATAAAGATGATTAAATGAACCACAAAATATCAGATATTTTTTATTTATATTTAATACATGTTCCTTTTAAGCAATTTAATTAATTATCCATTTTTTGAAGTTCATGAGCCACCTGCTTGCAGATATTCTTTGTTAGGCAGAACGCCAAACAGTTCAGCAAGTAACTTAAGATGTTGATGATTGGCCCTCCTTCCTTCCTGTAGATTAATGCAGGTCCTGTTCAATTGCATTGGACAACAGGATTCTTCTAGATTCTGACTCTGTCTTGATCAAGGCATCAATTACTCTCCAAACATATGGATGCGATCCAACCTGAATATTCCAAACATTTAAAAACACTCAAGGAAGGCTGTTGTTTATGGCTGTTCCATTTGTTAAAACAGTTACCATTGCCCGGGTGGACCAAGGTCGCAAATTTTAGAGACTATTTGTGACTAGTAGTCAGTATTATTTAAGTGCCTTGAGACACTTATCATTCATCAAGAGGATCACGACTAAATACAACTGAAAAGCCCATTTTTAGGCAGTGCTCAGAACGAAAAAGGTGTGGGGTTACAAGTTCAATATCCCGACAGGGGGTCTCGCTATATTTGTCCGTATGTGTGTGTCTGTGTGCCCAGCTGTGGCATTTACAGCTACCATGGAAGGCAGCTGGCGCAGCTGGCAATGCGTCCAACCCTGCCTAATCTAAGCAACTAGGCCCGCCTAATTAGGCAACTAAAAATAGGA